CTCACCTTTATACCTCCCGGTTCATGAAGTTTCACTAACGGGGTAGAGTGAGAAAAGTTTGAGTTTACTATTGTGTAAATCTCTGCATAAGCTGTGTGTGCCAGCCCTCGGTAAACAGATGCATTTCACCCCAGTGTGACCACGTGAGAAGATATTCCTATATTCATCATTTCTGCCAGGTTTTCATTTGGGGTTTTGGAGGTCTTTGTTTTGTTTTTATGACCCGTCTCATGCTGCTCGGCATTTCCGTTAATGCTTGGCTCCTAGGCTCATATGGTTATGCAGAAAATATTTGAATAAAAGGGAGGGTCCGACTCACCCTGTCACGAAGGAAAACTAGACGGCCTCATGCCTCAGAGAGGCATCACGGCCTGGATGGCAAATAAAGGGGTGCCAAAGTCAAACTGCATTCCAGTTGGCATGGCTGTAAATTGATCAAATGAGCTGTAGGCTGGGGTCATGTTTCCTGAGCGTTTTGCCACTGGCTACAGCATAAGTCAGGGCCCTTATTCAGAAGTGAACCCATCCAAGAGATTTTGTTTGACATGAGCAAAACGCATTCACACTCAGTAATAACAGCTCCCCTTGACTAGTCCTGAGTCCTGAGACAGTGCTGAACACAGCTTGTCCTTGTCTGCACTGCCTACAGAGACATAGGACAGGATCCATCTACCCTAACTTCAGCCATCTGGTCAGGTACACTATAACTAAGCTAGCTGTCTGGCCTCCTGCTGTAACCGACTGAGCGATGCAGGCAACTTCAAAAGGTGACTCATCCCTCCCTTCAATAGGTGCCTAAGCTAGCTGGCATGAATCACCCTCCATCTTTCTCCACTGAATACAGAGGGAGCCCAGACTTGGCCTACACATTGACTGGTATACGGCTAAAGTTAGCAAAGATAAATCCTGTCTGCAGTCAGTGCTGGATCTGATAACTCGACTGCTAAAGCCACATTTGAAGTGCAGGCACTGCTTTTAGAAATAGGTATCGTAAACTTATTGGGATCAGATGTTGTCCGTAAATAGGCAGTCCTAAAGGGGGGGGATGGGGCAAGGGGAGGGATAGTAACCCCTTGATTGTGAAATTACATGATTACTAAATGAATATGATTCTTCAGCAGGCTGGTTTTAATGTCTAGGTTGTGTTTCTGATGAAGGAAAACATGTTGTAGCACTGATCCATATCACAGTGCTCATGCTCTCTGCTATCAAGAGAAGGCAAGCTCTAAACACAGGATCTCTCAGATTTTTATTCATACCTGTAGAAATAAAGCCATAAGGTTGTTCTTTTTTAAAATCAAAATACTCTCTGTGCAGTGTATCTGATTCAAACCATATTGCTAGCAAGGTGGAACCTTGAAGACATTAAGATTTTTCTATGGTAAAAGTTAAAGATTAGAGGGCCCTGAGGAAACAGAACACATGGGCCAAAAGTTTTAAACCCAAATATTAAAGATAGTCAGCCAAGTCAAAACACTGGCATTTACATGAAGGGTTCATGAATTACAGAAGGACTGAGAACCCACTGAGCCTGCTTATTCCCTAGCACTTCTGAAAACTACTCCAGTTTTAATTAAATACCTTCATGTGGATGAAGCTGCTTCAATTTTGTACAAAGGAATTCATGTTCTCCTTGATTTACTAGAAAAAAAAAACCCAAAGGGTTTGGTCCCTTGTCTTTCTACACTGGGAAGGGAAGAAAGATGAGAGAAGCCTTTGGGGCTGAGAGAGGTTTTTTCAGTTGAATGCGAACTAACCCCTCAGAAAAAAACAAAACAAAACAAAACAAAGGAACCCATCACATAATTCACCAACAGCTCAGCAAAAGGACTTTGGAGAATCGGAAACTTCCCACCACAACTCAGCAGGTTTGGGATCATCCCCATGAGTTGCACAGCAGAAGGTACCTTTGACTTGCCACAGCTGATCCTGCCTAAGGCTCTCCTGGGACTGACCTGGGAAATGCCTTGCCTTGAGTTAGCTCAAGGAGCTGTTCTCACCTTTCGAGTATGAGAAAACTCAGAACACTGCAATCATTTCAAAACCAAAGCTTAACTTCTTCGAATGATAAGGAAAACCCCAAGGTACTCTAGATTACATAGCAAAAGAAAATAGGTGCCATATTTTAGGTCAAATTACAACGTTTATGTCCCGCCTGATAGAAACAAATGAGTATCTGCTACCGTAGAGGTAAAAGTAGGTCTCCCTCACAGATGTCAAGAGGACTTGTCCTAAGCTGGCAGATGTGGCAGCAGAATGTGCCACCTGTCACCCCTCTGGACTTGCAGTCATCGTGAGGTGACTGAAGAACAGGCATGGGGAATCCTCTGCCTGAAAGATGTCAGGCAGCTGTCCTTCCATCACTCTTCACGTAAAGGTGGAGGAAGAACTTTTCCTGTCTTAGTTTAAAAGATTCTCTCGGTTAAAACCAATAATACACCTTTCCCAGTGTAACCACAAGCCTGGGCTTCTCTGCTGTTCTTGTCCTGGGTGGTACAGCTTTGGACAAGGCACGAAAGATTTGTCTGTGTGCACCTTCTCTGTCCTCAGTATAGTGAGCGTTGGCGCCAAACACAACATCGGGGATGCCAGTCTTGGGGCAAGGCACTTGAAAGTTAAGTACTGAGACAATTAACCTTTAAGACACGTAAATTCTCCACTGTATCTAGTCATAAACCTCTCTAGCTTAACTCTAACTGGAGTGTATCTGATTTTTCGTGCCTACCCTGAGTCATCCCAGTCTGACTGTCAGAGGTCATTTATCGTCCATACATCCGAAAATGCATTCTTATTTCAGTGTAGACAGAAATTGCCCTTCCTCCCAATCGTTGACCAAGATGAGCATTCCCAGACTCCAGAATGAAAATCTATTCCTCTCTGTGGATATACACATTAAAATTTCTTGTCTATAAAACCAGTTCAGTGACAGTATTCTATTTCATTTCTGCCATGTGAAGTTTAGTTTGAATTTACAAGCTGTATTTTGGTACTGGAATAAATGTGTGTTCTTTTTAATTATTAGTGCTCATAAGGTGTCAGAAGATTACCTGGGATGGGGATTATGAACCACACCTTCACCTCTGGAAATGCAAAACCCAATAAAAGTTGACCAAGCAGCAGAGGTTTGATCAGGCAGTCGTTACTGACACTTAATTGACCGGTTTACGTAGTGGCCTGTAGTGCAGCACAATCAGAAAGGATGAAGTCCAGGTCACCTTGCAATTCAGATTTCTGCTGGTACCTAGGATGTTTGTGCTTTATACGATAAAGCAGGAAAGAGCACCTAAAAAATCTGCTTCTGGCTGCCAGGGGACTTCAGAGTTTGCCACACGCAGAAGTGATATCCAAGGGCATTGGACAGCCTGGGCTGACAAATAAACACAGTTGGAGTGGCTGATGCAAATACAGCTCTTGCTAGCCGGAGGGTATGCTACCATTCTATGAATCGAGGCATGGACAGAAAAGTTTCTGTGCTTCTTTGGGACTCCCTCCCAACACGCATGTAGAGAAGACCTAGGTAAACACAGCAAAATTGGTTATGTGCAATCGAAGACGTGGTTTGTATTCTGTATCTGTAATGGAAATACAAAAGCAGAATGAGGGTAATCATCAAACATTCAGAGAAACCTCTATTTTGGTTCAGTAGAAATGCCTGTATTTTATAATTCTAACCCAAGTCCTCGGAGGTGGCAAGAGCTGTAGAGGGGCAGGCACCTGTACAGACTGGATGTGGTCTTACCTGAGCCCAAACGTGTCCTAGAGAGTCTCTTTCTTTTTGCTGCCCACGCCACAGGCCTGGGGTGAGCAGGTTCCTAATCTGGGCAACTCACTTGGTGCCTTAAATGAACTGGGGTGGCCAGTCGCCTCCCAAAATAAGTGTCACTGACTGTGAACACAGGCATGGCTGCAGTGCCCTAGGAAAAGGGCAGTATATAATTTAACGTTAAAAATTAGCATATGCTCAAAAGTTTTGGGAACAGAGAGCTTCCTGGGTTACCAAAGAAGCAGCAGAAATGGGGGTCTTATTCACTTGTAAGATGCAGGAGCTGGCTGGGCCCCTCCCCGACCCCCCAGAAAAGGGGAAGAAGTAAAACGTGCTGGGCTTGGAGGGCCTCCTCCTATCCCCCCTCAACCGTGGCTTTGCTGGGATGTATTCGTTCTTCTCCCTGCTCCCACCCACTCCCCGCAAAAAAGCTCTACCAGCTCTTCACAGCTACAGACACATAAAAAAATAAAAATAAATAAAAACGCAGAGGCTGGGCAGTAACCTCCCAGCTGAGTTACAAAGCAGTTTTGGGCCAGTTTTTGTCAGTTCCTCTTGCCACGGGCACCTCCACGCTCCCAAAAGCGATCGCACCCCAGCCCCTCTCGCCACCGCCCCACTCCCGAGGGCAAGGGCGTCCCCCGCGCCCCCCCGCGCCCCCCCGCGCCCCCGGGCGGGCGGTGCAGCTGAACTCGCGGGGGTGTCCGGGCAGCAGCCTGGGACGTGCCATTAAAGAAATCACAGCGCGCCTTGCAGTCAGCGCCTGCTTTGCCTGGGACAGGGGTGTTTAAATAAAAATAAAATAAAATAATAAAAAAAAAAGTAAAAAAAAAAAAAAAAAAAGTAAATTTAAAAGAAGAGAAAATTAAAAAAAAAAAAAAAGGGGGGGGGGGGGAAGGTTCAAATAAAAAGGAGAGCAAATAAATCGCCCCCACCCCGAGCCTCGGCATTTCCGAGGAGTAAGGGCTGCGGGGGGCCCAGCGGGGGGGGGGGGGGGGGGGGGGGGGCGGTCGGACCGGAGAGCCAGGTCGGCGGGGGCGAGACCGGAGCGGCGAGGGGGGGTTCGGGGGGGGGGGGGGGCCGGGCCCCGTTGCCCCCCGTTCCCGGTTTTGCCCCTCCCCCGGCGTTGCGTCGCGGCCGCCCGCCCCCCGTTAGATGGCGCTACAGACTTTCCAACCACGTGTGTGGAGACAAGGGGGGGGGGGGGGGAAAGTAGTAGAAAAAGAAGAAGAAGAAGAAAAAAAAAAAAAAACAACTAACCCTCTTTTTGTCCGGAACGCGGAGAGCCGACCCCGCGGAGGGGTGCCCCTTCCCACGCGGGGAGCGCCCGCGGCCGCCCTGTTCCCAACCGGGGAGCTCGGCGAAACCGGCGCGCGGGTCCCCGCCGTCGGTCCGTCCCGTCGGTCCGTCCCGTCGGTCCGTCCCCGTTCCCCCCCCCCCCCCCCCCAGGCTCCTTTCCAAAAAGCTGCTCAGGCAACCTGCGCAGCCTGCCTGGGCTCTCTTGGTTGATTTTCATTAATTTTCATCAATTCCTCCTCGCTTCTTTTTTCCTTTTTATTTTTTTTTTCTTTTCTTTTAACTGCAATCCGCCTTTTCCCCCGGGTTTAGGACCCCGCAACTTTTCGGGCAGCCGGTCGGTGGCTGCCGCGGGGACCCGCCGGAGCGGGACCGCGTCCCGGCCGGGGGGCCGGTGCTGCCGGGTGAATGCGCTGCTCCACCGAAACGCAGCTCCTTAAAGCCACCCACCGACTCGCCATCGCTTCTCCAAGTCCCCCCCCCACCCCGGTCCCCAGCAGAAAGGCGGCCGCGTCCCCCCAACGCTGACACCCCCTCCCCCCCCTGTCCCGTGCCTGCCGTCGGGGCTGTGAACTTTCCGGTGGGGTAAGTTCTCCTTTAAGAAAGCGAACTGTTCTTTATGCATATTTAACGCTGTTTGTCTGCAGTGCCCAGCTGACGCGGGGCTGGAGGCTCACACGCGGGACCTGAATTGTAAGGGGAGTAAATCATCCACACTTTAAACGCACCCTCTGCCAGGGCTCCAGTTGGGAGCCCCTTGCCGTTGCTCTAAACACATGTAAGTCAGAACCGGGGGAGGGAGAGGGGAGGCTGAGTCTAATTAGGGAGATGAGTAGGATATTATTTTGTTCATTCCCATCGCAAAAAGAAAAGGAAAAAAAAAAAAAAAAAAACAACAACAACCAAAAAAAAAAAAAAACCAAAAAAAAAAAAACAACGAAACCAGATAATACAGTTTGGGGAAAGAAATCTGATCCTTGGACTTTTTAATTTTTTTTTTTTCCCGTCTTATTTTCCACCCAGCCCAGCGGTTCCTGAGCCCCCCCCCCCCCCACCTCATCACGCGTGTATCCCGAAGGTAGCCGAGCGGTTTGGGGGGTCCCTTCCCCACCCCCCCTCCCTTTGCCCTCCACGAAAGCGCTTTGCTGGGCGCGCAGGTGTGCGTGTGAGGGAGCGGAGAGGAGCGCCGGGAGGGTAAGTGAACCCCTTCCTTCAGCCGCCGGGGGTGGGGGGGGGGGCGTGGGGGGCAGGGGGACACCCCTCTTGTCAGCCGCGCGTCAGACGGCTCCGCCACCGCGCTGGGGTGGAGGGGGGGGAGCCCGAACTGGGGGAGCCCCCCGGGGATGCGAGAGCCACTGAAACACACACGCACACCCCCCCACCCACACACACACACCCCCCCCCCGGCCAGGCAGCCTGCCACCTATATGCGTCTATACTGCTGTCCGCGCGCGAAACGGAGACGTGTACGTGAAGGTCAGAGGGGCGATCTTCCACTGCAGCTCGAGTGGGAAGGAGCAACTTTCAGTGCTGTGCTCTTAGCGGTTTCCTGCCTTTTAAAGTGAACTTGTTCGAGTGTGTTATTCAGAATGTGGTTCGGTAGTTATGCCTTCAAATTAAGTTGCTTCTCGGTCCTCATTGGGAAAAGCAGGCATGTGTCCTCAATTGTATAGTATATAAAAAAAAAAAAAAAAAAAAGAAAAAAATCTACTAGGTACTTTATGATTCCATCTGGAGAAATTAAAAGCCCAGAGCTGTAATGTTTATTCTTACATAGTTTACAAAAAAAGGGGGAAATGTGTGAGACACATGTCTCCAAATATAACCAAAGTGCTTTCCCTTCTGGTTAAAAAGTTGCATGCAAATGTTTTCATTTTAACACTCCCTGCCACCTGTACTTCGCAGGGAAACTTTTCTTGGCGTTAGTGATGAAGCTCCAATAGTACTTATTAATGAATTAATTATTATTATGGCTGCTGAATTGACTCAAAGTGCTTTGGAGGCCAAACTAATCCATGTTAATCAGTTACAATTAATTGTGTTTCAACTGCTGTTTTAGCTACAGTTGCAAAGGCAGAGGCGAGGAGGCTCTGTATGCGGGGGGGGGGGGGGGTGCTCCAGGGGGCCCTCCCCGGCCCCCAGCACCGAGATTTTGGGTTGTGGAAACCGGCGCGCCGGTTGTCCCGGGTGCCCGCTCCGGGTCCCACAGAGGTGCGAGAAGCAACTTGGGTGACAAACTCCTCTTTCTCCTTGCCTAAAGCTGCAAAGATTAAGGGACTCCCGGGTTTAGGAGCCAAGCCTCGGAGGGAGGTTCCCCCCTCCCCCCCCCCCCCTGGAAATTGGGGAGGGGTACAACGGGTGCGGGGGTTGCTGAGCCGTCCTTTGCTTGGCCTCTTTGGTCCCGGGGCTTTTGTGTCGGCCACGGAGAGAAGGAGGCACCGGTGGGCAGCGAGGGGGGGTAGGTTTGGGGAGAGGGAAAGAAGGGGGGAGGAGGCAGAGGGGAGAAGGAAAAGAAAACAAAAAACAAAAAAAACAAAAAACCAAAAAACCACAACCCTGAGGGGACAAGCGGTAGCTGGGCCGGGGAGGACAGAGGGGCGGCGGAGGGCAGGAGAAGCCGGGGCGTGGAGGGAGGGAGCCGAGACCCCAGGGGATGGTCACCCCCTGCCCCCACCGCTCCCCGGCTGGGGGGACCCGGGTGCTGGGGGAGGGCCGGGGAAGGGCAAGGCCGGGGGGCAGGAGTTGGGCAAAACCTGGGGAAAACCTCCGGGGAGCGATGGAGGGGGGGTGGGTGGGTGGGGAAGGGGCGGGAGGGGGGGGGCGCTGCCGTTTTGGCCAGCCGGTCGCAGGGCGGCCCGTTTGTGCCCGGCCGGAGGCTGAGGGGAAGCATCCCCCCCCCCCCCCCAACACCACCACACACACCCCCCACCACCACCTGCCCCTCGAGGGGTGAAACGTGAAAACCGAGTGGGTTGTGGCTCAGGTGGGCTGGGGGCCGCGCACCGACTACCCGCACCCCCGAGGTGTGTGTGTGCGTGTGTGTGTGGGGGGGTGTGTATGTATGTATGTATGCTGGCGGGGGGAGTCTGGGTGGCGCCCAGCTGCCCCTCTTCTGCTAGAGAAACGGGCTTTTCCATAATAATAAACACACACACACACCCCCCTTCCCAAATTAGGGGCGGGAGGGGTAGAGAGCCGGCGGTCGCACCCGCGCCCTGCCTGCTCCTCGGCCTTCGGCGGCCCCGGGGGGGCACCAGGTGTCACGAAGGATTCCTTGTCGTTGGAGACTTACACTTCGCAAAAGTAAAACTTTTCCCCCCCGCTCCCGCTCCAGCCTTCAATGTGACTTTTTAAATTATTTATTTCTTTTATGGCAGTCCGCAGAATGGCAATTGGGAAACTCCACTCCCTCCCATCCTCTCTGGCATTGGGTTGCTGGGATTTTTTTGGCGGTTTGACTTTTTTCTTCTCCGGCTCTTTCTCAAAGATTCACCCTCTTTTTTTTTTTTTTTTTTTTTTTTTTTAAATTTTTTTTCCTTCATCCCCTTGACTCTGTTCAGCTTTTGCTTAAGACGGGCAAGCAAAAAAAACAAACAACCCTCCTCTCCCTGTACGTGCAAACAGATCTTTCTGAGAAAGCAGAAAACCAAAACAAACAAAAAAACTTTCACCTGCAAGAGAAGATAGTGTACAAAATTATCCCCCCCTCCCGTCCCGTATCGAATACAGCTGTAATTCAATTAAAATTGAGGGAAGAGATACATTTTCCACGTGAGAACGGAACAAATAAGGTGGCAGCGGGCGGCTGGGTAGGTAGGACACCTCGTTGCTGCTCATCACGCGTGGAATCGTTTTCTCCAGCCGGGGCGGGTGATAGTGTTCTCGCAGAGGTGCAGGAAACAATCCCCGGCTCTCCTCTAGCACAAAAGCACGACGCGTTTGATGAAACGTGCGTATTAACCAACTTCCTCCCCCCCCATCCCTCCCTATTTTTATTTGCTTCCCTTGGTTGCGGGACCTAGGTGGTCACACACACACACACAAAAAAAAAAAAAAAAAAAAATTTAAAAAAAAAAAAAAAGAAAGGGCAAAACAAAAACAACAAAAAAAAAAAAGCGCCTTTGCGTTTGTGGCGGCACTTTGTCGTTGGGGCAGCACACCCGCATTAGATTATTGCCGGGGATTTATTTGCATGCAGCTGCAAACCCACAACCCGGCTGCTGACCGCTGCGCATAAAGGGCTGCCGGGGCCGGCCCCTGCCCGGCCGCCGCGGCTCTCAGCGGGGGGGGGGGGGGTAAGGGGGGGCAGAGAGGATTTGGGAGTGGGTTTTACTCCCGACACAGCCCGGGGGGTGGTGGTGGGGGGTGTTTGTGTGTCACAGAGCCAGCAGCAGCAGGGTCCCCAGCGCAGCCAGAGGCTGCAGGTGCGTGGGGGGGGGGGGGGGGGGGGGGGGGGGGGGGGGGGGGGTTGGGGGAGCGGCAGCCCCCCCCCCCCTCCCCCCCGCCCGGCTCGCCCCCAAAGGCGTCCGCGGCCCCCGCTGGCCTTTGCTCACAAGCATCTCCGAGAAAAGCTTTCTCTGATGCATATGTCCCGGGAAAAAAAAAAAAAAAAAAGAACCGGTGGCTGAACCTCGGGATTTCTTAGCGCTATTTTCAGTGCTTTGAAATTTGCAGTTGATGCTCTCTCCCCCTCTCTTCTTTTTTTTTTTTTTTTTTTTTTTTTCCTTTCCCCCTTCTTCTCCCCTCTCTTCAGCCCAGTTTGGCAACGTTCGACGAGGGCGCTCTTAACCTTTGGAGCAAGGGCTTTGGGTTCAAACGGCCCCCTTCGCTGCCCCCCTATCTCCCCCCCCACACACACACACACGTTGCGAGGATGGATTTGGCTGCATCTGGGACCGGAGCATCTGTCTCCCAAGGCCTCCCTCTACCTCGGGCTACGCCACCAGGTCTCCTTCATCCTCTCCCGGAGAGCCAGGCGAAGGCTCAGGGTTCTCGGGGCTTGAACTTGCTCCCCTCCGAGCGCGGGGGGAACAAAAGCTGCCCCCGAAACGGGGCCGGCTCGGGGGCGAGTCTGGCCTCCCCCTCCGTGTGGGGAGGGACGGGGTCAAACCAGCCCCCCGCAAACTTCGGGAGTAAGGGGGGACGCTCCTATCCATCCCTCTGGCCCCGACGGCCAGCATGGGGCTATCGGAGAAGGGGGAAGACAAAACTGGATGAGGGGAGCTTAATTATTTTGGGAGAGGAAAGAGACATGTCCACTCCAAGCGGGCTCTTTCGGCCGGGTGTGAGCCGGGGGGGTTGCTCCAGGCGGTTTATGCCAAATACAGGGGGGCTCCGGAGCGGGGTCTGCCGGGCAGGGCGGGCAGCGCCGGGTGGGCCCCTCCACGGGGAAAACCTCCCCGCGAGGGCGAAGCTGGAAGGACAATGGGAGCTCCTCCGCACTCACAAAACCACGCTCGCCCGCCACCCTCTTCTTCCTCGCTCGCATCCCCACGGCGGTGCGTGGAGATGTCGCGCTGCCCTTGGGCCAGGCCACGCCGCCCTGGGAGGGGGGCTGAATGCCCCTCTGCCTGCTGACGGGCCGGGGGGTGGACGGGGGGGCAGGAGGGCAGCCCACGCCGCCGGGCAACCCACGCCGCCGGGCCCGCCCCGTCTAACGAGGAGTCCCGCGGGTGGGACCCGGCCGGGCTGCGGGAGCGCACAGTCCCCTCGCCCTCCCCAAAGGACGAGGCGGGGGGGGGGGGGGGGGGGTTTGTGTGTGTTCTCCAACCCCCTTCCCCCTGGAAACAGGGGAATAGGGGCCGGGGGGTGCTTGGGCGAAGTGGGGAGCGAGTCAGTAGTAATCGTGGCCAGGAGAAGTGCGGGGAAAGGCAGGAGGGGATGAAACCATTCACCGGCTCCGTGCGGAGCGGGGTGGGGTGGGGGGGTGGGGGGAAAGGGGGGTGTGTGTGCTGTCATCTTTGTTTTGGCCGTGTTGTCTTGTTTTCTAGGGGATTCGGGACAATAGCTGGAGTGGATTATTCATTCCCGTAGGCAATACTTCCCTGTATGGGCTTCAGGATGCAGTTGGAGGCTCGGGAACAAAGAGGGCATCTAATGTCAAGGTAACTGGTCTCCTTCCTTTGTTTATGCTATTGTTAATGACGGGGCTCACTCAGCCCTGGCCTCAGCCCTGCTGTATGGCATTAATATCGACTTGAGAGAATAGGCAGGACGATTAAAAACCAAAACCAAACCTCAGAACAACAGCAGCACCCAGCCCAAGCCCAGTTCTTCAGGTAAAACATGCCTCTTCTGGGCTACTGAGAATACTGTCCCCTCGCCTGGTATTCACAGAAATACACGTACCGTTCCTAAGATTAAACACGTCCATATCCATCATTAACACCTAGGGGAGACACTGTAACCCTGTTCTTCAGTCAAGAATCAAAAGTGAAAGAGCATTATTTTCAAATACCCAGTATTAAAGCATGAGGGGATTCTCACCACGCTTTAAAAAGAAAAAAAAAAAAAATCTAACAAAATAATTCTTTTAATTACGATAATCTAAAAGTAGCAGAAACCTGAGGTTTTATTGACTCATTTTCTTCTTCTCGAGGTAGTGGATGGTATTTAAAGTTCAACATTTCACACAGCTCCTTGTTTAGTTTAATTTCCTCGACGATCTAGGTGATTTCAGCAAACTGAGTTAAGAATTTTGGTACACATTTGAGTATGGATCTGCATAAAACAGAGAAGGCGGCAGAACTGGGGCAAGGATATTTTATTATTTTAGGAAGAGAAGGGAGTGTACGTTTGCATCTGTGTGGGGATGCCTGTGCGTGAGAAACAAATGGGGAGCTTTGCACCTTACATTTGGTCTGTGGCTTTAGTGTGGACTCTGGAACAAATATCCATTAGATTTCTCTGAGAAATGTCCCACTCGGGCAGATGGGCCCCTGTTTTGAATGAGAGCTCTAGAAGACGAAAGAAATGTATGTTACTCCAGCACAATTCTTCACCAACCCATTTCTTTTTTTTTTTTTTTTTTTTTTTTTTTTCCCTTTAGAAAGATTAGTTTCAGCTCTGCTATCCTGGGCCCATTTTCTGTCGGGGAAGGGATATAATAATGATCAATGCCCAGCACTTCTCATTTCTTTTGTACTTGGTAAATATTCGCAATGTCTTGAACTTGGAGGGGAGGTGGAGAAATGAGCCCAAACTCAGCTTCAGAGGATGTCCCCGTCCTCTGGCTTTCACCAGCGCTCACACAGAGGGGTAAAAAAAAAAAAACCCAAACAACCAAACTAACCCACTCAGAAGACCCTCCAGCCCACCCCCCCCGCCCCCCCCACCCTTACAGCCACACGCTTGCTTTTTGTATTTTAGCTGCCTGCTTGGCGAAGTGGTCTACACAGATCGGGCTACCTGGGTTCAGGCGACCAGCTCAGGGTGTACATTCCTACTCCAGTTGGAAATGGAGCCTGGAGTTGTTGAGCAAACAGTTCCCGCTCGACTGTAGCGCGGACTGAATGCTGTATAGTCAGCTCTATGGAGCGCTGGCAGGGAAGTAGCACCAAGCATTTCCAAAACTAATAACAAAAAGGTTACTATATATAAAACGTTTATACAGCCCACACTGCCTCAAGTTGTTTAAATTTCGGTTTGATGCACATAAATATAGCAGCCATGCGGTTCCCCATTAGCCAGTCCCTGCTTTTTAAAATCAATTCATTTCAATTTGAAAGGATGGCCCCGACGCAAGACAGTCAACAGCCCTTTGGCTCTCTCCACTCAAAGTGGACTTCAGGAAGAAATAGCATCTGTCTTTGTCATTTCACACGCGTATCTCAGCGCCTTGACGTTGTATTTAAGAGCAGGCCTTCCACCAGTGAGGGTAAGAGTCCCCAGCTGGTTTCTCCTTTCTAATTCGTTTTCCCCCTTCTTGTCTTAGGCTCCTTCCGAGGAAGAAATCATTCTGCCGGGACCCAGCGCCTGGACTTTGGAGGGCATGGCACCACGGTCTGATCTGAAAGCACCCTCCCTGTGGGTGGAAACTCTCCTCTGTGTCGTGCACCTTGCACGAAAGGCAGCGAGGGGACACTTGGGGTGACCAGGCATCTGTGGCATCAAGGAGCAGCAATCCCCTTCATGCTGCTGCGGAGGGGAGTTTGTTCCCAGACCGAATACTTAGCGGTGCTCAGTACCGGTGTCGAATCGGTTTGAACCCTCCCAAGTCTCAAATAAAGACCTCCGTTGTGGCACGGCAGTGAGCCCGTCTTGCTAACCTTTCCCTGTTGCGTCGAAGGTACGGAGCTGATGTAATGCTGTCTTTTCACCCCACTGATGTGCGCAATAGGAACAATTCAGAAAAGTTCTGTTTAGGCTTCCCCCCCCCCCCCCCCCTTTGTAGTTGCAGAAATACAAGCTATCATCAGAAACAAGCCTATGTTTGAAGGTACAGTTTTCAACATGTGAGTGGGAAACATATGTACTGGCACAATTCAACCATTCTGTAAGGGCTGTGCTCGGATTTTGGCTTTTAATCTCAACTCTGTTAGAGAGAGAGAGAAGAGAGATGCAAAATGGAAGGGAATGTGATTATTTATGCTGTAGCCTTGTGATACTCATCCTATAACCGTTGGGGAGAGAAGCAAAACACTCTGCTAAAGCTTTGGGTGAGCCTGAGTTTCAGGGGGACTCTAGTCTTCACAGGTTCTCACTTCACTGCCTTTCTTCCCTTGGTATTTGTTATATGGGATTTTTTTTTTTTTTTTGTCTGCTGTTCTATGTTTTAAAGTGAGTTTAAAGTGAGTAGAGACTGCAGGATTCTGCAGAGAGAGAGAGAGAGGGCTCCCTCCATCACAAACTCACGTTTGGAAAATGCCTACATCCCCCCCCCCCCCCGACCACCCCCCTTCAAGCCATCCTCCCCCCTTTCAGGGGAGAAAAGAAAACCTTAAAAGAGAAAGAGAGAAGGGGGTGGAGGGGAGCGGGGGGAGAGGAGGGGGGACCCCCCTGATTCCACAGTGACCTGCACAGCTCGGACAGATCTCCAAGTTCTCTTTCCCCTCCCGCAGATAAACCCCGTTGGAAAAAAAACCCCAACCCAACCCAAAACAAACACACACCTGAACTTTTAACGTGGCTTGGGATTTAAAGCTCAATGTTAGCACTTTAAAAAAAAAAAAAAAAAAAAAGAGAGGAGAAGAAAGTTTGGGTTTTATCCCTTACAGCTTTTTAAAAAAAAAAAAAAAGCACTGCAACCAAGCCCCCCTCCCCAGGCATCAGCCATCAGCCAAAGCAACCCCCCCCCCCAGTCCCAAGGCCGGCAGCCCTTCCCGCGGGCAAAGACCCACACCCACAGGTGATCAGCCCCGGCCCCGGCCGCCGGCACCCTGCGCTGTCCCGGGCCCAGGGGGGTCCCCCCTGCCGCCCTGCCGAAGGGGGCACACACCACACCCCACACACCCCCCCCCGCCAAACGCTGCGTGGGAGCACGGCCCTGCCTGCAGGCTCCGGGGCTGGCAGGGAAGTTTTTTGGTACTGCTAGAGGCATACACACACACACACACACACACATATATATATATATATATATATCGTACACACACATCTTTATATATAGATTTATATGTAGGTGTCTAGTCTATGTTTAAATAATCCTATCTATACACACAGTCCTCCTCTGATGAGGTCATTCTCCCATATATATGAGATTGGGAGCACGATGCCAGAACTGAACGCCAAGATCTGATCTCCACCGATCTGAGAGCAATATAAAGTAAATGTTAGCAGAAGGGGAAACAAATTTTGGAGAGAAACAGTCAACAAGGTGTCCCTGAAGGCTTCTCTCCTGCCCTCCCCTGCCGAAGTACCCACACACTTTATGCCAAAGAGAGCCATTTCGGGGCGAGGGGCTCCTGCTTCAGAGCAAGGACAGGCTGCACCCCGGATCGTGGGGGCTGGGGCTGCACCTTGATATTTTCAATCTCCTCCTTCCCTTTCCTGAGCGATGCTCGTCTCTCTCTAACGCGCTGGTCTGCTGCAGCTTTTTTTTTTTTTTTTTTTTTTTTTTTTCCCCTGTGGCTCCAAATGTCTTAATGTTTTTTGATTTCAGGAAACTCAAAACGGAAGGGGGGATGCTACTTGAAAGTGTGACTCAAAAAAAGGTTTCGCTTTACAGCCATCAGTAGCACCAGGAGACAGCTCCATTAAAAAAGTAGTTTTCCACTGCTCTTGAAAAGCCGTTATTTTTACATCGCTTTTAGGAAGATAGATTAACAAAACATCACATTTCAAGCCACTCTGATCTGTAATTAAATGGGGGAGCCGGTTTGTATTCTCCTATGGCTTTTACAGAAGTTGCAGTGATCCAAAGTCAGGTTGCTGTGTCAGAGTGGCATTTTTATTAATGAGAATACAAAAAGCTTGCATATTCTTAGCCCGGCTTGAATTTAGTTGCTAAGCAACCGCTGTATGGTAATTCATCCGCGAAATTTAAATCTTGGAGAAAGGATCCTGCGTTTTGCTGAATGGTCGCCACGAGGAAAAACAACTTGTGGGACCGGCGGCAGCTGCCGCGGCGGCACCGCGCCGCCCGCCCGCTCCCCCGGGCCGCCCGCCCCGCCGGCAGCACCGCACCGGCCCGGCCGCCCCTCCCGGGCCGCCCCGCCTCCCGGGCCGCCCCACCGGGGGGGGGGGGGGAGTTTGGGGCGGGGGGGGGGGGGGGGGAAGGGGTGGGGGGGGAAGAAAGCGCGGCTGGGCATCGTCGGCCGCCCCGTCGGCGCTGCCCCGGACCGGCCTTTCCACGCGTGGGGGGAAAGGCGGCACCCGCGTTGCGGGCCGGGTGTGCCCCCCCCCCCCTCCGCTTCAGCAGCCCCCCCCCAGGAATGGAGGGGGGGGGGGGGGTGGAGGGGAGCCGGGTCCCCGACGGCGCGTCCCCGTGGGGCTCCCCCCGCGGCCCCGGCTGCTCCTTTGGCGTCGGGGGGGGGACGGGCTGGCCGGCGAGCCTTCCCCCGCTCGGCCTTCACCCCTGAGCTTTTTGTCTCGCCGAAGCCTCTCAGCCAAAAAAAAAAAAAAAAGCTCCCTACTGCCGTGTCACTGATACCGCGGGGCCGCTCGCTGCCGGCCGCTCCCCTCGCTCCCGCCGCCTGGTGAAGGCTGCGCCCGCTCCGTTCTTCCAAACTGCAGCTGAAATTACCGGTGGGGTAACCACCTCCCTGCATCCATCTCCCCCGCTCGCTCCATCCACCCGTCTCGCCACAGGCGGCCAAGCTCCCCGCCATCCCCGGCTTTAGCAAAATCCGTCCCTGTCCTGAAGCGCTCGCTCCACGCCCGCCTCCGAGGCCGGGACTTGTTGCATCTCTTTTAGAGTTTGATTAATTACCCTGGAACTTAAGCAAACTAAAGTACATGTGGCGAAGAAGCTCACGCCTACAGTTTGGTCCTGCAGCCTGCCAGTTACAGAGGTAATCTTGACACTCCCGGGCAAAGGGGGGACAAGGAACTCTGCGCCTCAAAAAGGTGTCCCTGTATAAATATATAGAAGTATCGATTTTGCTGTAGCTTGAAGATGTTGATCATTTATTACAAAAATAAACGAATAAATACAACAATATATTGTTGCTTTCAACAGGATAAATATTTTACAAATATATAATTTAAAAAAACAAATGTAATTGTTAAAGTTATTTAAAATATTACACTTATTGAGAAAATTATCAATAGTATATACTGCATTTCATATCAGAACCAATTATGCTCTAAACGTTCCATTTAAAACCATTCATACAAAACAAGTTATGAGCATTGCAATGTGCAAACACGAGTCACTACATTAAAGCATAAGGATTCTGTAAAGATCACTTCCCGATAGGAACCGCTGCGTTTTTAAACCAAGGTAGAGCTCTTTGCTAAATTACGGAAAATATGAGGATCAACAGCAGTGAGATGACTATTTTAAATACACCTGAAAATGATTTGTTGTGTACAGACTCCACGGGGGAAGGATGGGATGTGAGTGAGAAGACTGGGGCGTAGTAGAGGACCGCAGGATATGAAAACGTAAACTATAAATAATCACATCTCGGGATTACCCAGACTGATCAAACATAACTTTGTAAAAACAGTTGGCTTTCCTTTAGGCAGGAAAAAAAAAAAAAAAAAAAAAAAAAAAAAAGGGGAGGAAAAAAAAAAAAAGGGTAAGGAAAATGATGCCGACTCAGTTACCAAGCACAGAACACTGATATTATAAATGAATACAATTAGTAAATTCATTAAGAGATCTGGCGATATATAACAGTATTTTCATTATTTACACGTGTAACAATATAACCCTTAGCGCAAACCCTCTCAGTTATTATCTACCTCTTGTTATCTCATAGACTCACAACCCTGAAATTCCTAAATACATTCAAAGGAATCAGTTTCTCGGGGGCGGGGGTGGGGGGGGGGGTGTGTGGAGTAGGGAAGGAAGAGAGCGCCCACGGCCTCACTTTTTGTGCATACCAAGTCCACGGAAGGGGCACATTTTGCCAAGCCCTCCGCCCCAAGGTTCCCCCTCCAGCCTAAAGCCCGGCTTTTCCCCCGCAGCGACCCGCCAAGGTTGCCTCGCCACCGAAAAACCCGTGCGGAGCCTAACGGGAGCTCTTTGTTGCCATCCAAACCCGGTAACCAAATACCGCTCCGAAAATTGAAACAGACCTTCGCCGGCTCTAAAGAAACCGCTCCCTCTTCATGTGTGAAAAAACGGGATCCCACCCCACGTGGGAAATGGTCCCGGGCGCCCGGAGCGGAGCCCGGCCTTTCCCCTCCCGGGCGGCAAACCCAGCCAGGAGCTTTTGCTAAAACGAACAAAAGAAAGAGCGTCCTTTACCCTTTCGGGTTTTCTTTCCCTTTGTTGGGCTGGGGTTTGGTTTTGTTGTTGCTTTTTTTTTTTTTTTTTTTTCCCCCCCCTTCCCCCTCCCCCCCCCCCCCCCCCGCCCGCCTTTTCCTCCGTGTCAGTAGGGCCTTTCGGATTTCACAAATCAAACCGACGGTGATATTTACTACGAGCTGGTGTTAAAATAATGCATCCCGGTGCACGGCTCTCAGGTTGGCTTTGATTTATGGACTGACACAAGGCCTATCTGAAAGAAAGAAATGTTTGTTGTTCCTACAGCAGTTTTCTGGGGGTTTAACCCCTGCCTCGATAGCACGTAGAGAAGCAAGGCGGGGGGTGGGAGTGGGGGGGGACGCTGACGAGGGGAGGGAGAGGAAGGTGAGGAAGGAGCCACGGATGAGACGGATCATAAAAGAAAAGCTTATTCTCCAGCAAGACTATCAGTGGGGGCGGGTGGAGGCGTTAGAAGCAGCTCTCCAGTTCCCACAACCTTCCCGCTTCAAAACGAAGAGAGTTGAAACGGTCATTCACTTGTCCCTATATTGCAATAAATTACAGCGGATAAATATGACAGGCTAGCTAGTGCATCTCCTGGCATCTCCGACGTTACCAACACACGCGTGTGTTTGCAAAGAAGGTATGGCAGCGCTGTGGCGGGGGGGGGGGGGGGGGGGAGAAAACTAGGCTACACCACTTCACACCCCATAGAAAAAACCCTAAACCAACAGCAACAACAACAACAACAACAGCAGCAGCAGCAGCAGCAACAGAAATGGTGAACTAGGCGGACCGCACGTAGGATGCTGAAAGTATTATTCTAGATATCCTTTGGGGGTGGTGGTGGTGGGGGGGGGAAAGTACCTTCTCCTTAAATTATAAAGCTAAATTAAATACAGATATTTATACAGACATAAAATGCGTCAAAATAAATTATAGCTTAGCCCCCCCCACCCCCACCTCCACACACACACACCCCCCCCCGCCTCCCCCGCCCCCTCCCCAAAGCCTCCGTTTGAAAAGACAGAAAACAAGGCTGAACTTTTGGCAACCTCCCGGCCCTCCGCACCGGCCCCGCAGGGCCAGCGGGCGAGCTCGGGCCCCGCCCGCCCCGGGGGTGCAGCCGACCCCCAATCCGCCCCCCCCACCCCCCCCCTCCTCCTCCAGAGCCCTTTCCGGGAGAAGGTGGCCTTTGGCCAGCTCTAATCTCGCCCTTCCTTCCCCACGCCAGAGGGTCCGTGGGCCGAGGGAAGGGGCCACGGGCGTGTGCCCGGCCGTGGGATGGGCACGGGGTGCGCCCCGGCGCCGAGCAGCCGGCGGCAAGGGGGGCGTGGGGCCGGCAGGGCCCACCCGCGGGATTTCTCTCACTTTAGCATTATTTCCCTTCAGAGAACTTTTTTTTTTTCTTTTCTTTTCTTTTCTTTCTTTTTTCTTTTTTTTTTTTTTTTTTTTTTTTTTTTCCGACACAGTGTTTACGCATCAGACACAGACTATTTCATTCTAACAAATTTATTTTCTCAATCAGCTCTTACGGAATCACTACTCAAATTAAATTACAATCAAATTATCACATCAAAAGATACCCTTATTACCTAACAACTGTCCATATTTTCATTTCATTTTGATTTGTGCTCGTCTGAAAAAAACACGTAATACAAGATCTGGGGAAAAAATAAATTACCGTTTTGCAGCAGTTCATAGGTATTCTGAATAAATATTAAAAGAAGTCATTTAATGAAAATATAAAGCAAATTTTTTTTTAGATCAACAACGGATCTAACAATTCTATATTGCCGTCTTTTTGAAAAGTCTGTTTATTAAAACCTACCAAAAACACTGCTTGGAAATGGCAGTATTATATAATCACATCCACAGCACCCATTCAATCAAAGTTGGCAACGGATTTAGGAGAGGAGAAGTTCAGATAAGTGCAGCTGCAGATGCTCAGTCCTTCTAAATCCCTTTATCTGAATCAGTCCAGAAATAAAAAATAAAAATATTAATAAAAAAAATATTAGCAGTGGATTTTTTTTTTTTTTATGACTCTTCCATGATGATTGGCAGCCGTCAGGAGCAGGACTTTGACAGCCCTAAATTATTTCCCTTTCTCTCGCTGGTTCCCTTAATTCATGCAAAGTCCTTCTACAGAGCTCGAACTTTAGGGACCAACAACCTCTCCTTCTCCCACCCTCCCCCCGGCGTCTGTCCCTCCCCCCTTTCTCCTCAGGGTCAGTTTTTCGGCGTGCGGGCGTTTATTTCCATATTTTTGTTCTATAGCTATACCTATATATATAGATAAATATATATATATGTATTTGCTTCCCTATGCAGTCTGCTTGTTTTTAGTGCTGTGTGCATATTTTAGTATTATTTTTTTTTCCTGGAAAAAGTGGCCCCTTTCATTTTGCAGAATATATAGATATATAGATATATATGTTTTCAGAGTGGATGTCTGCCTTGCACCAAAATTCTACGGTTTGGCCAAGAAAAACAGGGTGCTGGAATGCAGCAGGCACCCTCTGATTAACCAGATTATTTTGCTTCTGCTTCCCTTTTTGGATTGCTCCCATTCAAAAAAAAAAAAAAAAAAAAGAAAAAAAAAAGAAAAAAGAAAAAAAAAAAAAAAAAAGGGAGAGAGAAAGGAGGAAAAAAGTTTCCGTGATTCATAGAAGAGAGCCCTTTTGGGGATAGGGGGGAGAGTGCGGGGAGGAGAGGAGGAGGGGAGAGAAGAGGTGCAGACATCAGTGGTGTTCCTCGCTGCGAGAGGGGGCTAATTTGGAGAGTGAAAAATAAAATAAAATAAAATAAAATAATAATAATTAAAAAAAAAAAAAAAAAAAAAGGCCCAAGCCCACCCGCCCAAGCCCTCTCCCCACAGCCAACCCCCCGGCACATCTGCAGTTTTGGTGCATTACGCATCTCCACCCCGTTTTCCCAACACGGTCTAAAACGCTCTCGCTCGGATCGACCTTCTCCACCGCTCCCTATCGGTATCGATCTTTATATATAGAGAGATGCACGCATCTATCCATATATACATAAACACAAGCAGTCTGAACGAGCCCGGATCGTGCGTGTGCGTGTGTGTGTGTTGTGTGTGTGTGTGTGGGGGGGTGTGTGTGTGTGTGTGTGTGTGTGGGTGCGCGCGTGCGGGTGTGTGTGTGCGTGTGTGTGTGTGAGCGTGCGGGTGTGAGCGGCGGTGCCGGTGCCGGTGCCGGTGGCGGCGGCGGGGCCCGGCCCGGCCCGGCCCGCGCTGCCCCCCGCGTTGCCCCCACCCCCCCGCCCCCCACCACCCCCCCCACCACCCCCCCCCCCCCCACCCCGGCCCACCCGCGGTGCCCCTCACTGCACGCTGGTCTGCAGTCCGTGGTGAGGGGGCGGCGTGTCGGAGTTGACGGTGCCGACCTGGGAGTAGACATCGTCGGGGGTCTGCTGCTGGATCCCCGGGGGGGTCATCCGTTTCTCTTTCTGCCTCCGATTGCAAAACCAAACCCTGACCACCTCCTTCTCCAGCTGCAGGCTGTCCGCTAGGTTCGTAATCTCCTGGGCGGAGGGCTTGGGGCATTTCAGAAAGTGGCTCTCCAAGGCCCCCTTGACACTCACCTCGATGGAGGTCCGCTTCTTCCTCTTCCTGCCCTGGGCGGCGATCTTGTCGATGCTGGTGGGGCTGCCCGTGGAGGAGTCGGCTTCCTCCAGCCACTTGTTCAACAAAGGCTTCAGCTTGCACATGTTCTTGAAGCTGAGCTGCAGGGCCTCGAAGCGGCAGATGGTGGTCTGCGAGAAGACGTTGCCGTAGAGGGTGCCCAGCGCCAGCCCCACGTCGGCCTGGGTGAAGCCCAGCTTAATCCGCCGCTGCTTGAACTGCTTGGCGAACTGCTCCAGGTCGTCGGAGGTCGGCGTGTCCTCGTCCGAGTGCGGGTCGTGGCTGTTGACGCCGCCGTGGTGCGGCGGGTGGTGCCCGGGGTGCTGGTGGTGGTGGTGGTGGTGGTGCCCGGGGTGCTCGCCCAGTTCCGGCGTCTCGCCGCGCACCAGCCCCGGGTGCACCAGGCTCTGCCCGCCGGGGGGGGGGCTCAGCATGCCGTTCACCGTGAAGCCCCCGGGCTGCGAGTAGAGGAGCGACTGCTGCTGCTGCTGCCCGCCGGCCATGGAGGGCAGGTGGGCGGCCGCCGCCGCCCCCCAGGCCGCCGGGTGCCCCTGGTGCGGGGGGCCCAGGTGGGGCGCCCGGTGGTGCAGCGCCGCGCCCGAGTGCAGGTCGTCGCGCCCGCCGCCGCCCTTGACGTCGGGCGGCGGCGGCGGCTGCTGGGGGCTGCCCGTCATGCCCACGGGGCTGCCGGACCAGGGCGAGCCCGCTTCGGCGGCGGCGGCGGCGGCGGCGGCGGCGGCGGCGGCGGCGTGGGGCAGGGCTGTCACCCACTGGTGGGCATGGCTCAGCATATGGCCGCCGTTGCTGGCGGCCATGGCGCCCGGCATGAAGTCGCTCTGGACCATCTTGGCCGCCGGGTCGCCTCGGTAGCCGCCCGCCACCGAGGTGACGGCCACGCTGCCCGGCTGCATGCCGCCGCCGCCGCCGCCGCCGCCGCCGCCGGAGTCGGCGTGGACGATGGAGCCGGCCGCCAGGATGCCGTTGCCGGGGAGGTAGGGGTTAGAGGTGGCCGCGGCCATCCCGCGCCCGCCGCCCGCCGCTCGCCCCCGCCGCGCCGCCGCCGCCGCGCCGCCGCCGGCTGCCGGGCGCCCGCCGCGAGCGCCCTTGCCCGGCGCTGCCGGGGCCGCTGCCGGGGCCGCCGCCCGCGCCGCCGCCGCCGCCGCCGCCGCCGCCTTCCCAGCCTCGCCGGGGCGCCGGGGCGCGGGGTTCACCTGCTAGCGCTCCGCGGCGCGCTCTCCTCCGCCCGTCCGCCGGCCGTCCTGCCGCCGCTCCGCGCCGCGCTCTTTGCGCTCGCCGGCTCTCGCCGCTTCGCCTTCGTTCTTTTTTTTTTTTTTTTTTTTTTTTTTTTTTTTCCCCCTTCTTTTTTTTTTTTTTTTAAAAAAAAAAAAAATCGCTTTGCTTTTCCTTTCTTTTTTTTTTTTTTTCCCTCCAAAAAAAAAAAAAAAAAAAAAAAGAGAAATATTTAGCTGTACATATATTTTTCCTCCGCCTTCTTCTCGCCCGAGTTTGCTGCTCGCAGGGAGGAAACCAAACAAAGGCTAAAAAGCGAAAAAGAGCGGGGGGGGGGATCAAAAAGCCCCCGTGCCTTCTCCCCTCCGCTCCCCTAGGAGTACATCTCCACCTCTCAGCCTCCCCTCTCAGAGTGAAACTTTTCCTTTTCTTCTTCCTTTAAGGCTTTGTGTGTGGGTATATTTTCCTTTTTCTGTCTCTCTCTGTCTTTCTCTCTCTCCTCGGCTCCTCGATCTCCTTTTGCTCTTTTATTTGCAAGTTTTGTTGGTGTCCTAAGAAAAACTTCCTGTGATGATGATGGTGGTGATGGTGGTGATGATGCATTTCTCAAAGTTGTGCTGTTGCTGGAGCACTTTGTCCCCTTTGAAACAAGAGTCCTGCCGGAGCCTTCTTGCTAGAGTCACGCTCTGGATAAGACATTTTTTCTCTCTACCTTTTCTTTAGGCGGTTGGAAGAAAAAAAAAAAAAAAAAAAGTAAAAAAAAAAAAAATTAAAAAGTTGAAATTTCTCGTTACCTCGCGAATTGTTTCTCTCCCTCTCCCGCTCGCTCGCTCTCATCGCTTGGTTTGTTGTTTTTTTTTGTTGTTTTTTTTTTTTTTTTTTTTGGTGTTTGTTTTGCTTTTTATTTTAATTCCAGCAGTTGGTCGAGGGAGGAGGCGGAGGAGGAGCGCCTTGGTGGAGAGGTGTGTGTATGTGTGTGTGCATATATGGTATCCTTTATACACTAACTCCAGCGGGGAAGTTGGCTGCCGGGCTGGCAGCGCGCACTGGCGGTGCCGGAGTCCCGCCGCTCGCCTCTCCCCGCCTCCCTCTCCCGGGCCGTGCCCGCGCCCTCCCTCCCTCCCCTCCCTCCCTCCCTCCTTCCCCTCCCCTCCCGCCGCCGCCGCCGCCGCCGCCGCCCGGCCCCGCCGCGAGGAAGCCGGCCGCCGCCGCCCCCGCCGATTGGCTGCCCGCCCCGTGACGGACAGCCCGCCGCCGGCCGCGCGGCCCCCCTTCCGGCCGTTCCGATTGGCTGCTTTTTAATTTAGGCAAAGTGGCGTCGGAGCTGGAAGTCGCCCCCCTCCACCCCCCCCCCCCCTCCCTCCCTCCCTCCCTCCCTCCCTCCCTCCCTCCGTCCCTCCCTCTCCCTCCTCCCTCCCGCCGCTTAACTCTTGCTGCCCGGCAGCCGCACGCACCTCCCGCCGCCGCCCGGGCAGGGGCGAACGGTAGTAATTAATAACAACAACAATAATAACAATAACAACAGTAAGCCTGGGCGGGTGGGGAACGGCGTTGGGGTGCCGCCACGGTGCACACTCATTCCCCTTCCCCCCCCCCCCCCTCCCCACCCGGTAGTCCCCGCACCGGCACCCAGAGCCGCCCCCCCCCCCCCCCCCCCAGCTCTGCCCCGGAGGCGCCCGCCCCCCGCCCGCCCCCTCCTCTCTTTGTCCGGCCCCGCACCCCGGGGTGCGCCCGGGCCCCCCCCCCCCCCCCCGCAGCCGTCACGCCGGGAGGCCGGGCCGGTAGCCCCGGCGAGGGAAGGGGCCGCCCCGTCGGTGGGGGAGGCGGCGAGGGGGAGAGGGCGGCCGGGCTTGCCCGGCGAGCCGCGGTGTCTCGCAGGGAACCGGCCCCGCGGCGTGAAACGCTGTGTTATTTCTCGTCCAGCGGAAAGAGTTAAGGGGGGCGGCGGGGAGAGGAATGGGGGGGGGGGGGGGGGGGGGAAAGGCGGGGGGGAGCGAGGAGGGGGGAGAGATGCGACCGAGCGGAAACGCTGCGCGCAGGCAACCTCAGTGAACCGCGGCAAAAAAAAAGAGAAAGTGGCAACAAAAACAAGGGCAAATTGAGCGCTCCTGGGGGACCGCCGGTGCGGTGACACCCTTCGGACATTCAGGGGACGCGCACGGCGCTGCCGCGGGTCGCCGCCGCCGCCCCACGCGGGACGCCGACCCACGCGCGCTTCCCTTAAAGGCGGGCTGCGCGGGGAAAAAAAAAAAAAAAAAAAACACGCGGGGGTGCGGGGCATCCAAACGGGGAGCGTCGACCCACCCACCCCTCCCCGCGCAAACTGAACCGGTGGGCCCCGGGAGGCGGTGAGCCTCGCAGCGCCCCTCCTCCGCGCCCCTCCGCGCCCGCGGAGCGAGCCCCGCCGGCCGCCCGGCAGCCGGTGTCCGGGGCTCCGTCCAGCCCCCGGCAAAAAATACCACGGGAGGTAGATTTAGAAAAAAACCATGAAAGTGAAGCCTGCGGATCTTAAGGGCACTGGTAACTAAACCCCAAACATAACGATTATATATATATATATATATATATACACATTTTTTTTTGTTGTTCCCATGCGTCCTCCAAAGGTTTCTTTTTTATATATAAAAGATCCAACACAGATTTCATTGAATAAATCTGAGATCTCCAGGTGCAGACGTTTGAATAGTCAGTGCCAGAACCCCATGTTTTCCTTTCCAGCCGATTTTGCTTGGATCAGGCTCAAAAACCGAGTGAGTCTCGTGGTTTTGTTTACACTGAATGGGGAGGATAGGAACGGTGCCATGGGGCCGTCTTTCATTAATATACAGTGAGGATTTTGTCTAAATTACTGCTATGAATTTCACAGTACACGCTTTCAAAAGCCGTCTCAGGTGGCCTGATGAAACGTGATAGCGCCTCTGCAAACAGATCTACTTTCTTAATAAAAAAGGAAGGGGGGGGGGGGGGAAGAAATCCCCCCCCCCCCCCAGAAAAAAAAAATGTGTACACCGTCATAACAGCGACAATAAAAAATAAAGCTCGAGCTGGAGTAATGTCTTTTATTAAAAAAAAAAAAAACAAAAACAAAAAAACAAAACCAAAGAAACCAACCACCCAAAAAACAAAAACCCAACCAACTTAGTTCCCCAACTCTTCCCACCCCCTCCCTTGCAGAGTGTGATTGTTTTGTCTGGAAAAAAATCCAAAGTATAACAAGGGGAGAACAGTTAGTGCTGATTTTCATTTGCATAAATTTTCATATATTTTGGTGAAAATAATAGACTAGTGGAGAGCGGGGCTTAGTGGAGTCAGTGCAAAGGAAAATCTTAACATGGATCGTTTCGCTGGAGTTGAGAACATGCTTTTTTCCCCCTGTCACCTTATTAAAATCAAAAATTAAAAAAAAATTCTCTAAATCCTGGAAGTATGATCGGTAAGTGTTTTACATTTTTTATCTACTTTTGTTTTCTTTAAAGTCTTCTGGATATATATTTTCAAAAGCTTAGGACAAGACAGGGAAACCCATGGCAACTGCCTGGAAGGAAACAGGCTTAAGAGAAAAAAAAAAAAAAAAAAAAAAAGGAAAAGGAAAGGAAAAAAAAAAAATCCCACCAGCAACAAAAAGCACCTTAGTGAAATATTACATAAAAAGCATGGATTCATTCCAAAGCTCAAGGCAGCAAAGCAATTCTTCAGCGCTGGAAAGTCTTTCTGGTTACTACTTCACTTTTCTGGGCACTGTTAATTATTGTAACACCAGGACTGGCGGAGGGGGGGGGCGGGGGGTGGGGGGGGGGTAGGAAAAAGGAAAGCTCTCGAAAATATTACAGGTTTGTAAAGGAGAGGAGAGGCAGAGATGCGGGGTTGGTTTCAAACGCTGCTTCTCGAGGAAGAGGAGGAGGAGGAGGAGGGGGGGGTGGAGGAGGGAATGGCCCGGCGGGCGGGGAGGGGGCCCGGCCGGGGCCGGGACCGGGGCGCGGGGGACCCCGGCACCTGCGGGCAGCGCCGGTGCGGAGGGACTTGGGGGGGGGGGACTTGGGGGGGGGGGACGGGGGACACACACACACGACACACACACGGGGGGGGGGGGGGGGGCAGGGGGAAGGTGCGGAGCGGCCGTGCACGCAGAGGGTTAATATTGTAACTAGGGAACAGACGGTTAAGCACAACATCTAGAGCTCGGTAGTGAAAGTCCATCAGAAAGAGTATAATCAATCAAAACTAACCAGGACATCCCTTCATTTTATTCTCCAAGGAGATTGGGGCTGGAGGATTACAGACCAGATTTCACTTTGTTTCTCTCTCCTGACAGGCTTGCCTGTCTCTCCGCTTTCCCCCAATCCCGTCTAATTGAGAGGTGTAGGCTAATGATCTGAAACTCTTTTATAGCGTTTGGGTCAGTGTGATAAATAATGTGATAAATAATGTAGGATGAAATTAGTAGGCCAGATACCGCTCCTGAAAACTTTACCGAGGCTTAAATATCCCATTACGTGACTTTCATTTATTTTAATTTTGTCGTGTTATTTGCATAATTTTTTTTTTCTTTCCTCTGCTCCCCCCGCCCCCCCCCCCCCCCCCCCCCCCCCCCCGTTGCTGCTCTTTTGGACACACAGTAGCTGGTGATCATTGTAATTTCCTAGAATTAGTTACTTCTTTGGAAACGGTCGATAATCAAATCAATAAAATGGCTTGTAAAACTAGGGAGGTATAGGTTTCAATTTGGGGGGGAGAAGAATCGCTCATTTTCCACTTCTTGTTGACGTGCCCAGCGTCTCTTTTGACTGGGGTTAACTCTGTGTGCTCCATCGGAACAGATGCCGTATAGAGCTGCTCCCTCAAGATCATTTGTTTCCTTGATGGGGGAACATTTCTGAGCAGAACATATTGGTTGCCATAGAGAAAGAAATAAAAGGAAGAACACTAGTCACATTAAGCTATATGTTTGTGCACTGGGCTTTAGATAAAAGGACCCCAGTTCAAGCCAGAGCGAACGGGGCCAAACCAGAGCTTCTTAGCTTCACTAAAACTAGCTTTATTTTGTTTTGGACTTTTACGGTTGAAACATGTAAGCTAATTTTATTGGCTATCGTTAATTTTATACGCTACGGTTTGCTGAACAAAATCAACTTTCGGCGCGCTCCGCCAGGCGCCGGCCGCCCGCCAGGGGGCGCCCTGTAGCCCGCCCCCCCCCCCTCCCCCCCCCTTTCCCCTTCCCCCCCCCCCCCGCCCCTTGTCCCGTCCCCGCCCCCCCCCGGGGAGGTTTGGGGGGCCTGGGGATGGGAAGCCCCGGTCTCCCCCGGTCCCCAGCCTCTGCCCCCCCCCCCCCCCTTGCACACCCCCACCGCCAAGGCACCCCGGCCGGGAGAGCCCCCAGAACTCCCGGGGGCGGAGCGGCGGGGGGTGGAGGGAGCGGCGTGAGCGAGGGTCGGGGGGGTTGGGGGGGGGGGGGGGGGGCTGTCGGTTCAAAGGCCGCCCCAAAAGTGTCCCCGCCGGTGCGGTGCCTCCAAGGGACCCGAGGCCTGCGAGGCAGTGAGAGCAGCTAATTAAACAGGGGCACGGGCACCACGCTTCGGGGTAACCCGAGGTGCCACGCGGGTTTTTTTGTTTTGTTTTGTTTTCTTTTTTTCTTTCTTTTTTTTTTTTTTTTTTTTTTAGTCCAAATAAGGCGCTTAAGCCTCTGGAGGTGTAATAAAACGACTCCGGGTTTTTTACATCATTTAATATTTAAACCGCCGTACTAAACCTGGAGAAGTAGCTTTTTTTTTTTTTTTCCCCTCCTCTTCCCTTTCCCCCCCCCGTCCGTCCCCCCCCCTAGTCTGGCCACTCCCCCCCCCCCTCCCCGACTTCTCTACCTGCGAGAGCCGGGGCCGGGCTCCCCCCGCCTCCCGCCCTGCCCACGCCGGCCGCGCACCGGGCATAAATTGTCGCCGTCCGGGACACTCGCGGGCGTGAACCTCAACTTAAAACAACATCGACGGCGACCACAGCTCAGCTCGGCTCTCTGTCCCTTCCCAAACACGCGTGGTCTCAGCCCCTTAAGACCAAGCGTCCGCTTCTTTTCTCCGTTGCCCTCCCTAAGTGGTTGCAAGAGGGGATAAGAGTGAGAAATTTCGGGGGGGTTGTGGTATTCGTGCCAAAACCTGTTTCTACCCCCCACTCTACGATGCTGGGCACGGGAGGACGAGCGTGGCTGCAGCATCCCCCTAACGCACCTGCAAGGGGGGGGGGGGGGGGGGGGGGGGGGAAGTCCCGGGCAGCCCCTCGGGGGTTGGAGGGGGGAGAAAGAGGCTGCCCCGGGGGGGGGGGGTTGGGGGGGGGGTTGGAGCCACTTTGTTTCCCCGTGCTGGAGCCCCAGCAGTTTCCGTGCGACTGGGAAAGTTTTATTCCTTGCCTCCATAAAGGAAAGACCAATTGGAGCCCTGGAAATCACACAGCCCATAAATATGATAGATCCTGGCAAGATGAACTCCCCGCCTAAAAACCTAACGCAGGCACATACAGACACACACACACACAAACAAAAAAAAAAAAAAAAAAAGAAAAAAAGAGAAAAGTAGTCAAAGAGAGAAAACGACCTACGAGAACATACACTACTTTTCATTTCAAGTGTTCGTGGGTCTTCATTTGGAAAACGGAGTCAAGTCTCCGTGTGTATTGACCGTGAGGGAAAACGCTTGAGCTATTTACATGAACAAAACTTTCCACCTACCGCATTTGGCGAAATAAGCACTAGTAATATTCCAGCCTAGTAAAACACATTTCCAGAGCGCATTTCTCCTCAGAAACGTGGTCGCTTACTTGAGATTTGCCGTCGTTTAGTGAACATTTCCCTCGCCTCTGCAGCGGGCGGGTTGGGGAGCTGTAAGACCCCAGCCAAGTTCAGCATCCCGGGTTTGGGACTGAGCGGATTCCTCCCCCGCCCCAGCTTCCATCTGTCCCCCCTCCTTTCCCCCAAGTGTAACCTGCCTTCGATTTTAAAGAACCCAAGAGTTAGCCGCGCAGCTCCCCTGCTCTGTGCCCGCCCCAGGCAGCAGCAGCCGGCTGCGGGGACCGCAAGCGAACAGAAAAACCGCCGCTAAAACGAGCAACAAGTTCATTCGGCAAAAGTTAACTCTGCTGCGGGCTGCCTTTGGCAAAGTCCTCTCCGCCCAGGAGTGCCGGGGCAGTTGCCTGCACTGGCACCCGAATTGTAAGAGGGCTACAGAAAGCAATTTTTTTTTTTTTTTTTTTTTTTTTTACCCCCATCCCCCTCTTCTTCTTTCAATAAATGCCTACTTTGTCCGAACGGACGCCTTCGGAAAATGGATGTAGAAGCGATACTGTCGCGGAGGTAGGGAAAAGAAAGTGAATGTTTACCGTATTTAGTATTCATTTACTTATAGTGGGAAATGATTAGGTATCTACTAATATAACCGTGGAGACCAACTGCCTAATTAGCATTTACAAATTAAAATGTTAAACATAAAGACATATTCCGTATACAGTCTGCTATATGTAAAACACATTCGTGCATAATACAGCAGTCAGCTGCAAACGTGAAGTTGACTGGCTTCCAGATATGTAGCGTTCTTGGCTAATGTGATCTGCTCTGGGTTTTTTAAGCTTACCCATCCTGTAGTTCACAGTTCTTATGACCACGTTGATAGCTGTGCTAGGGATATTACGCTAACCAATCTGGAGAAAATAGGAAAATATACAGATTACTGCTAAAGGCTGGCGATAATAACGATAAACACAATAGGCAGGCGGATAATTTCTCCATACCTTTTATTCTGAAGGCTTCACTCGGAACCTTATTTATTGTTTTGAGCATAACAAAGCATTTCGGGTTCTGTAATAAATTAGAACAATAATGCAGAACTGCACATGCAAAGCAAGATAGCTTTTAAAATAGGGGTCCTTTCTCTCCCAGCTGCATAATTCTGATATTACCCAACGTGTCGTGCTCAGGGTTCACCTCACACGGACGGTAATGAAAGTTGCCAAATGAATGGAACAATCTATCTGTTGACTTGAGCTCAACGTAGACACATTACATATGATGGAAACCTAATGCTTCCACCGACGTTAAAATCAGAGGGATATATAGTTCCCATCCAGCTCCTTGAACATGTAGATTTTTATTTATAAGAATAATTGTGCATGTAGTGACATAAAAAGGGGATTTACAAGTTGGAGTCTTTTAAAAGAGACTGTGAAAACCTTAGCCCCGCTTTTATTAGACATGATATCATTCTGATTTGCGTGCTTGCCATCTCAATAGCGTTTCACATGTGAAAAAAAAAAAAAAAAAAAAAAAAAGAAAGATCCATATGCATTACATAGATTTTCTTTTACGCGCATAAGGACTGGCAGTCTCTTAGTGGGTAAGAGGGTGAATAATTGTTATACACCAGAAAACAGTTCGTGCAGTTTGGCAGCTCTGTTTTTTATTATTAGATTTTTTGACATTTGAACTTGTCTATTGTCTGAGGAGCTCAGTGCAGATTGCAGTAGGTCAACCTTAAGGCTGCTCTTTTTGGCATTGCACACAAACATGCACACGCTGCCTGTTCTCCTTGCGTGAATGCAGCAGCTACAGTTTTACCGTGGGTTTGGGTTTTTTTTTTTTTTTTGCTTTTTTTTTTTTTTTTTTTTTTATGCACATGTATTTATATTTATCTAATCCGCTTGAGGTTTTCACGGTCCTGTGGTTAGTTTGTACGCGCGTTCATTTTACCCCCGTTCCTCCAATCTATATATTTGCCTGATGTTGGATACTTTTAAGTAGTCTCTTTTACAGCAGTATAATTCCAGCATCACGATGTTTGATAAAAGGAACTTCGGTAGCCCTGGGATTAAATGACATATTTCCCCGCAGCTTCGCTCAACTCCATCATGACTCCTACAGTCAAAAGTTAACATTATTCATCATCTCCTCGCATTTATTCCCTCCTCCCCTCTCTAAATTCAGCCCCGCCATCCGACTTCTGAAACAATTTCTTGCCGCCTGCTAGAGCTGGGAGGGGAGGGGGGGGGGGAGGGGGGGCAGAGGCGGGGACCCGAAAGCCCGGCGGGGACCCCGCCACCACCCCGCGGCCTCGGGGGCGGCCCCCGCTCCGCCGGCCTTTCCGCGGGCGCGGAACGGGCCGCGGCCGCGCTGAGGTCCCAACAAAACGCCCGCCCAGGGGCGCCGGGGGAGAGGGAGCCGCTGCTGGGCAGGAAAATGCGAAATGGGGATGGATCCCCCCGGGGCGGGAGGGGGAAGGGGAGAGAGAAAACTGGATTAAGCCCGGGTAGGAGAGTCAGTTTGCGCTGGGAAAATCCAGAGTTTGCGTCTAAATAACTTTTCCCTGGAGTGATTTGCGCCTCTTCCACGTTTTTTTCTCTCTTTTGGCTGGTGCTCTCTTAAATTGAGGCTCTTCCCTCATTCTGCCTGGGTTCAAGGACTCAGGCCGAACAACAACCTTCTTCTAGCAGTCTTTTATTTAAATACGTGTCTACACCCATATTTAAGTATACGCATATATAGGTACGTGTACACCCAGGCATGCACAGATGCATGTACGTCTAGATTTGTTCCCCTCTCCCCTTGACTCCCCCCTTCCTTCTTTAACAAGCGCCTGATAACGCATTTAAGGCTTGTTATTTGAACTCTCAGATCAGCATGCAGAAATGTAATTGCGTCGTTTTTCATCAGGAAAGAAAAGGAGGAAGGGAGGGGGGAAGCCCCCCCCTTACACACAGACACCCAGTGCTTGGTAATCGCTGAGTCACCGTATTGGGGGTCAGTGGGTAAACACGAAGGAGAGAGCAGCATCTTCTTGAAAACCCCGGCGTAAACCGCATCCCTCATCATCTCCAGCCTGGAGATCCCTCCCCTCCTCCTTCCCCTGGATTTATTAATCTGGATTTGGGATAAAGTGGTCCAAGTGCAGCCAGAGCCCTCTTTTGGGGCTGGATGACCTCCCCAGGCGCAGTGGGACCCTCTTTGTTGGGGCGGGGCGGGGAGAAGAAAATCGACATTAAACTGCTCTTTGGGCTGCCGGTGATGGGCTTCGTTTTGGGGGGAGAGGGGAGGAGGAGGAAAAGGGGAAACACCCGCCGGTTCACCTAGGGATGTAAAGAAAGGGAAAGCTTTCTCTGGGGCTGGGCTCTGATCTGGGCATGTTTATTCCTGTTTAAACGCTATTGTTCCTGCCAGCCTTTGACACAAACAGAAGGGGCGGAGGGTTGGGGGGGTGGGGGGGGGGGGGGGGGAGGGGGGGCAGCTGGAACAAAGCTGCTCAAACCCAAGCAACCCCCAAAGGCGGAGGAATACTTTATTTTATTCTCTTTAAAAATGTATGTGACAAGACTTTCTGTTTGAGGTTGTTTTCTGGGTTCCCCACCCCCCCCCCCCCCCTCCCCCTGTGAGCTGAACGGAGTGCCTGGCTGTGATTCACTTACCAGGGCCCGTTTCGAGAGGTACATGTCCCCCCAGGTGGGTGCCAGGGAGCCTCGAAGGGACAGCTTCTCGGGCCCCCGGGCTGCCGGTGGGTTGAACGAGCAGACTTGAAAGCGGTTTGCGGCAAGGCCTGCAGTGGGAAACAAAGAGGCAGAAATGTTGGGAGCCCAAGGAGAGCCTGAAATACAGAGAGGCATTGAGCTTCCCAGAGATGCTTCAGCTTCTCAGTGGGGGACAGAGCAGGATCCTTTTGGGGCTGGCTCGGTGCAGTTGAGGGCTGGACTGTCCAGCCCGCGCTGAATCAGAGGCATTGTGTGCAAATGAATAAGTGCACATTGTTTTGAGCCGCTGTTATTGTATTTGGGGTTGGGGGGGGGGGGGGAGGGAGGAGGGGGTTACATTTTGTGTGTGTGCGTGTGTGCGCGCGGGTCTGTGTGCTTTCGAAAGGTGAGTGCAGATTGCAATAGTTGCTGCTCTGTTTTTGTTTGTCAAACAGGGCCCTTCTCTTGGGAGAGGGGCATGTGGCGGATCCCAGCCCAGGATTACATTAATCAAAGCATTATTTCCCCAGGGATGCACAGCACAAATGATAGTAAATCCTAATAAAATTGGATCGCTGAGAAATTGAACGCTTAAAGTAATCTGCTCTGCCTGATAAAAACTTCAAATTTATAAGATATTATGCATCCCCACCCCCAAACACCTTAGGTATCATCACTATGTGTGTGTGTTCTACATCTATCTGTAGGAGAGAAATCACTGCTCAGTTTAACAGGCCCATCACTATTGAATATATACATAGAGATAAGTGTATGTGTGTGGACACACACATATATGGCACACACACTCACATGCAGAGTCATAAAATAAGCTAAAACCTCTATGCAAATAGCAATAATGACTATGGTCAGTATTTTAAGGACTTTGCCTGTGCCACCTCTGCTATGGCAGGTGCGGTATGAGGCCGGGACGAGGCTGTACATGGTTGTGTACCAGTGCTGTAATCTTGCCTGGGGACTCTATTTTCTCTTGCTTTTTACTGATGCTCGCCATGGGCCTCCTCCATGACAGCACCTGCGATCTCAGCCCCACTAAGAGCAGCTTTGCTTTTTAATGCTGAGACCACAGGGGTGGCAGGGAAATGGAAATAAAAAATTAAAAATACGCGGACACGAGCAGTTGAAGCTGAGTTTCGAAAGCATTTGGCGGGGGATGAGCTTCAGAAGGAAAGCGCCTTGGTCCGGTTTGGCATAGTTGAAAGAAGGGAAGGTGTTCCCAGGCTGGTTATTTTGCCTCGGCCACGCAGCATGCTGCACTCACGGCCCCTTGGTGTGGGGCCAGGCCACCACCTCCCCTGCCCCTTGGCGAGGGCCGGCGGAGGCCAGGGTAGCCACTGGCCACTCGCGAGCTTCAGACCCGCAGTCTCAGCTACTTCCTCTCTGCAGAAGGAAAGTTTGTTTATCATTGCAGCCGTGGGACGCGACAGTAGGCTCAAAGAGACCCACTGTCCAGCAGAAAAAGAAAAAAAGAAAACAAAAAAATTTGCCTTTCCCCCCCCCCCCCCCCCCCTCCTCCACCTCAAAAACTGCTGCGCTTCTAAATGTGAAAGGGGCAGAAGGCATTTCCACTCACCCAGCTGAAACTCTTTGAAAGGCTGCGAGTTCCCCCCACAGTTATAAATGCCGATCATTCCTCCTACCCCTGCCCTCCCGGGAGTCCGGCCGGCCGTGGGAGGCCGCTCCCCTCCGCGGGAACCGGCCCCGCCGAGGGCCCCCACTCGTGACTGTGACCGGTCCTGCCCACTGCCCTGCGGCAAGCGCGTCCCGTACGCTTCTCCCTGCCCCTTTCTTTTCTGGCATCGCCGAGCAGACCGAAAGCGGCTTCTCCGTTCCCCTGTCGTGGGGTTTTCCTGCCCCGGCCCGGCCCCGCTGAGCGTGGGGGGGGGGACACACGCTGCCCTGCCGGTAGCTGTGCCCCCCGCCCCCCCCCCCCCCCCCCCCCCAGCGTGCGGGCAGGGAGGGGGGGGGGGGTGGGGGGGGGCTGAGCCCTCTCCCAGCCCCGAAATGACGCAGCCCCTTGCTCCAGCATCGTCTCCCGTTTGGGCTGGCTCCATTATTTCAGGAGCTCCGTCTCCCCCCCACCCCCTTCTTCCCAGCCTTCCTCCTTCCTCCTCCTCCTCGCCTCACCGTCACTCTCAAACAACCCCCCCCCCCCCGCACCCCCCCCCCCCCCCCGCTCCCCCCCCCCCCGCCGCCCCAAACTCCTTCCTCAGGACCGTGGGATGCTGGTGAGCTCTGGTGAGAGTTGCCGGTCTCCATTTCCAAGCGGGGAGCCGCCGGGAGCGGTGAGGCAGCCGGGGGGGGGGCAGGGGGGTGCTGTGCGGGCCGGGGGGAGCAGCGGGAGGGGAGGGGGGGGGGGCTAGAGTAGGCGCTGAATGAAGGTGGGGGAGAGAGGGCGGCCCCGCACCCGCGTACCCCCACCCCCACCCCCATTTTTTTTTTTTTTTTGGAGCATCCCCCCCCCCCCCCCCCCCCCCCCCCCCCCCCCCCCCCCCCCCCAGGAAAGGGCAGCCCCCGCGCCCCGCCCGCCCCTGCCCTCCGCCGACACGGCGCAAAGCGGAGGCTCCGCGCCGTTCCGCGCCCCTCCGCGCCCCGCGACGGGGCTCCCGCCGCGCCCCCCCCCCCCCCGCCTTCCCCCACGCGTGTGAGGAGCGTGCGGGCGGGGACCCACTCACCCCGCCACTGACGGTGCCTCTTTTCCTCTATCCCCCCCCCCCGCCTCTCTTTTCCTAAAAAAAAAAAAAAAAACCCAAAAAAACCCAACAAACCAAACCCACCCACCACCCCCCCAAACCCCCCAGTCATTTGCATACCGTTTGGCACCCTCGCTCGGTATTCCCCCCGACTCCCCCCGCACTCGTTTTATCCCCCCTCCGCCCCCGTCCAGACCGACCCTTCCCGCCCCCCCCCCCCCCCCCCCCCCCCCCCCGCATCCCGGGTGCAACCGGATGACAAAAATCAAAGCTGGTTCCAATTTACCCCCGTTGTCTTCCTTTGAACACCCATAAGGTAGGTATAGGGGGGGGTGCTGCGCTCCCACTCCCCGTGTGTTCAGCAAGGTGCCTTCCTCCCCAACCCCACCCGCCCCGCTTTATTTTCTTTATTTGGCTCTATCTTGATGTGCACTTGTTTTGTTTAGCCTATTTTACTGTTGCGGACGAGATAGGCAGAAAAAAAAAAAAGGAGCGTTTGACTTGGTATGTCTCACTGATTTTTCCTTCCCCCCCCCCCCCCCCCTCCCCCTTTCCGAGTTTAATTTGCATTTGAGGGCCAATTCGTATTTCAAAATCCTGGCATCTGAGGACTGTATAGGAAGAGAGCATTAATTTCTGTTTCTGTGGAGGAAGGTCTCCTGTACTCGCTCTTTTCCGTATAATTTCATTGTGTTCACAAGTGACAGGGATTTGCATCAGCTATTTTGCAATTTATTTTTTTAAAGAGTTGGATCAAATTTAAAGGAAAATAAATGTTATTTTCTAAATTGCCGAGGCAGCAAATACCAGGTGTTAAAAAAAGAGCATACACTATTAACAGTGTTGCAAACTTAAAGTTTAAGGCACAGACTATATATTCATATAAATGTATTAATCTGCATTCCTTGGAGTTGGATTTCTAGCTCCTGAGCATCTGATTTTGATGACAGTCAGAGAATGTCGACTATACAAATACTGAGGTATATTTATAGTTCCTTACATCTATTTACAGGTGATTTTACTGCTGTTTGCTACTCTTGCTCCAGCGCTTTGTAATTATTTCACTCCTGAAAGTCATTTCATAGGATTAGATACTGCTTTACTCATTAAAGATTTTCAGCCTGTCCAGGTATAACTTCCATCCACATCTCTGGAAATAGTTATGTGGCCATGTGGACTTTATGGAAAGATTATAAAAGATACATGGTCATATAAAAAGATTCTGTTTTATATCCATGGTCCTTTCAGTTCTTTGGATGTGATGAAGAATCTGTCTACGTTTAGGCCTTTATGGGTCCTTTAAGGACTTCCTTCACATATTGTATTCGTATCTATAAAATGAATTTTATTTATATATATAACGATTACATGAATGGCATATGTTGCATAATATGCATATGAGGCATTTCAAGTATTTCTACACGCACACAAATTTATTTTTCACAAATGTATATGTGTGCGTACGTGCGTGTTTATACACGTGTGTGATGAAATACATGCTGGAAGAGAAAACTACCCTAAATAAAAAATGTTCATAAAGGAAAAGCTGTTAAGGTAGTTCACTGGGAGTTTGCATCTGGTGCCTTGCAAAAGTCACTTAAGTTACAGACTTTACTGTAAATATCGACATACACCCCCATCTCAGCATAAAAATATTTGTGCATATATTTGTCCTTCTAGAACTAACTAAACAGAGCTATGAATTATGCCTAAAAGGATGCCACTGAGATAAAAAACTTATGAAATAGTAATGGAATATGGAATTTTATATAATGCCAACAACTTTAGCATGATTCTTGGCATAAGCAATTTAGTGCAATTTCATTTGTCTGAACGAGAATGATATTACAAAGTGAATTAATAGAACATTAGTACTGAAAAAAAGAAACACTTCTTCCTTTGAAATATGAAGTGCCACTAACTTGAGATGAAACCTGAAAGTCAGTGAATAATATATGGGAAATATTAATATTTTAAATGTATCATATTTAAAATTGCTGTGAACTTAAACAAGGTTTCATATCAAGAAAAAACAAGTAATTCATTTTAGGTGCCAATTTTATATGCTACGTTTTACAAATGAAGCAATTCACTAAAGAAGTGAAGCCAGGTATGTAGGCATATTTTGCTATTTTGCACCTGAAATACGGTCATTATGGAATATGAATTTAATTTGGGAAATGATAAAAAAGAACATTTATTTTATTTTTCTACTGTGCTGCAAGGAAAACATTTTTAAGTAGCTGATTAATGAGATGAAATGAACTGATACGGCCCACAATACCTGCACGGGCTTTTATACCTCGTGAAACTGCGCCACAACGGGACCTTTATAAGAAGTATGAAGTCAAGTAACGCAATCATATTTTAAATGTGGAATGGGAGTTGATACGATTCGGCTTGATGTCGTAAAAAGCGAGCCCTCTGGCACTTGGCATCACATTACTTAAAAAGTACTCCTGCAAGGAACGTTAGCAGGAGGAGTGTAGCAGGGTTGAACCTCAGCACCGAAGCTGGGGGGGTAAACTGCGGTGCCACCCGGTGCCGTGCTGTTGCTTTGAGCGGGGAGGAAGCGTAGTCCTTGGTCCTCTCCTTCGTCCAAGGTCTATTGCCTCCAGCGTTCCGCCGCCCCGCTCCAACGAGCGGCTACAGCTCCGCCTCTGCAAGCCAAACCTTGAGATGGGCCAAATTCCACTTGTCCCGTTCGTTGATGCCACCTGGGTTGCGTCCCATCGGAACGAGCGGGATCTGTCCCTCAGCCCACTCCGGGGTGTATCTCCGCTGGGCCTTAATGTCAGCGAGGGGATTCTTTTTTTTTTTTGCGCTTATTTGATGCGGATGGAGTTAGGTCTGGGGGCCACGTTGACCTTGACCTTACACCTCACACCACCTCAGGGTTAGCTCCTGGTGAACCAGGCCAGCAATAATTGTCGTCACTATGTACGACCCACGGGATACGTATGACCGGGCACTTTGAACAGCTGGGCAAAAAACCCGTGGCTTTGCCCTGATGGAAAGGGCTGGACGCGTCTGAGCTTGGTGGAGAGGGCAGCTGCATGTTCTGGGAAAGACTTGGGCCGCCTTGGGGACTGCAGGCACTTGGGAACTGCCTTGCTGAAGGACAGCAAAAGTCTGGTTAGTCCATAACCTGGTGCCCAGCAGGAGGTAGTGGCAGGTGCCACGGGGGAAGGCAGGTTGGTGGGGGTGGTGGGGAGGGGACACACGCTTGTCACCTGCCCCACAGCAGATCTCCTTCTGGCCACTTTCGCCCAGAGCCCTGGGGCATTTGCTATGCTTCCCCCGATTGTCTCCCGTTAATTTCAGCAGCTCATGTTTTCATTAGAAATGCCCAGTGCCCTTCTGAAGCTCACTACGGATATTTTTAATTCAGAGTAACTGTGATGGGGGAAAAAAACCCCCATGCTTTTCCTTTTTAAACAGCTTTACCATTTTATCACAATTTGTTTAAATATACATTTCTCTGCTGTGAAATAACATTTCTTTCCACGTTTATACCCATATGCACAATGCTAACTCATAGCAGAAACAACATTTTAAAACACTGTGTCATGCTTATAGGATAATTATTAATCTTGTCAGAATAAAAAGCGTACTAAAAGTACTCCATACAAAGGTTTGTGCCTTAACGTTTTTGAAAGTTTTTTTTTTTAAGTAATCAGAGATGTCATAACAGAGGGAGAAACTGTACAATATATAGCACGTAGTAAAAGTATATGACTCCTACAGGACTATTTAGAAATATACAAAGATTATTTTTTCTCCTTTTGGTTAGCAGACTACTTGATGAAAAGGTATGTTTTTATTTTTATTCCTGCTTGTGTCTTACAGTTCTATGAAGAAGATGTGAAACCACAAATTCCAAATTTTAGTAGCTATAAATGATATAAAAATAAGGAAGAGGAATGTTCATGATACGTATCTGGAGGGATAAATACACAATAATCATGCAATCTGATAGCAGAAGGAATAACTATTTGACAATAAAACCAATGCTAAATACGAACAGAATAATATTGTTCTATTGAAAAATACAGCAAATAAAATGATACAACAAAAAGCCACTTTTGAAACTCCGTGTTTAGATCTTTTCCAGTTGAATGTTCATTTTTAATGTTTTGTGACCACCGAGTCAGTGAACAGGTTAGTGAACAAGTTAGTCAAAACTTTTCTGTCTTGATTTTTCATATCCCATCTCTACAAATCCAAAAACATAACCGGTAGCAACCCCACTTAACGTTAGGAAGGTGGTTTTGCTGTTTGTTGCTTGGCTTTTGCTTGAGACCTGATTTTGCATGCTCTGACTTGTGTGCTGAAATTTCTGGGGTGCGTGAGCAGTGTTTGTAGGGTCATCTACTCATTTTGTGCAGGACGGCCCGTTTTTTCATACTGGGGGTTCACACAGGCACAGGAAAGGGGTACTGCAGGAAAGGGGCTATTTTTCAAGGGCATTGGGCATTTACCACTTCATTTGACTTCAGCGAGAACTGTGAAAACTCAGTATTTAAAAAAAAAAAACAAACCCAAACCAAAAAGAAAGTGGTCATTTTTCTTTATAAAGTCAAACATGGACATAGAAATCTGACTTCTGGTATCTCTGGATGAAAAAAAAAAAAAAAAGATAAAATGCTATAATTGGAAATTTCTAGCTTTATCTTTGTCTAGGTTTAGCATCAGCCCTACGGACATAAAGCACAAACCTACCTTTCCCCATGTGATAACTGTTTGCTTTGCCTTCTCCTTCAGAGAGGTAGGAGAAACGATTAAGCCACTACCGCTCTGAAAAAAACAGGCATCAATAATAGAAATTATTGCGCATTACTCAATTAAGAAAATAAGTCTGGAATCCGCATAGGGTGAATTACGATTTTTAAATGCTGATGTTTTGACTTTCCGAAATTAGGAGCTTAGTACTGAACTCTTCCAGCTCTTTCTTACTACCGTTTGGAAAGAATAAGATGCAAGTTTTACAGACTTCTTAGAGGGACAGCTTTCTGCACCGTGACATGTTGAAACATAAAGAAAATCGAGCAAACGCTTGGAGGAGCAGCCAATGACTGGGGAGAGGAGAATGTGCTGTAGACGCCTGTGCACCGGTGAACCCTGTAGCAGGTCCCGTGCACCCGGGGGTTAGGGGCTCCACTTCAGAGGAGGAGAAGCAGGAGAACCAAGACCCACGGCCGGTTATCGGTCAAAGTCCCCTCGGTGCAGCACCATCGAGTTTTGGGATCAGTTTTGGCTGGATGGTGTCGAGCTGCAGGCTGGGAAAGGGGCCCGATCCAAAGCTCCGCGCCCCCC